ACCTGGTGGAAATGGAACTTGTTGTGGACGCCTATAGCTAGCACAGTCCGGATGGTTCATAACTTCCCAACCAGAGATAGGCTCCTCGAAGACAACACCGTAAGCGGGCTTTATATCTAACTGCCTGGCCATCTTCGACTTCCTTCACACGGAGTATCCATATGGATTTGAGAGGTTTCACACCTCGTGGACATGACGTCATCTTCAGCACAGCGTTTGCCTCCAGGGACCTTATTTCGTTATCGAAAGCCTCCAGCGATCGCAACGAGTTTCGATGTCACTTTAACATTGAGGTCCTGATCTCCACCGATGTTGAATGGACATCGTTAGAAAATTCCGTGGATATCCACTCGAACTTTCGTAGGCAGTATCGGAAATCTCCACCGAAATCGTTTCGAACCTGCTCCGTTGGCAACGCCAGCAAATTCCTTTAAATTGTCTGGAACTCTTTCTGGACCGTTTGAAGTCTTCGTTGTATCAGTGTGATTTTTTGGAATTTTTGGTACTTGTCACTTATGGACTTATGGAGTAAGCCCATAACACGGCTTGGGGAACTTCATAGCGCTTCTCGAAGGTGTTCATATAGGAATATTTCAAGAAAGGCATAGGATTTGTTGGGAAAGTTCATAGAACTTCTATAAAATGTAGCAAAACAGTTCCGAAACTTTGAACACATTGTATTAACTTCAGGAATGTTCATGTTGTGTATACTTCAAGGCAGCCCGAAAACTTCAGGGAAGGTTAGTTAAAATCCAAATAACTTCAAAAAAGTTCATTGAAATTTTTAAAAAGTTTTGAGAGCATCAGTGACTTCCAGACATGCCTCCAGAGAACTTTGGCCCCATAAACTTCAGGCAAATATAATAAACATGACGAAAGTTCCGAAAACTTAAGTGAAGTCCCAGAGAACTTCAACGAAGATTAGAAAACTTTGGGGAAGTCTACATAACTCCAGGGTAGTTTAGAGAACTTTGAAACAGGTCTTCAGGTTGAGCTTCAGGTCTTTTTCGAGAACATCGAAAAAGTACGCAGAAGTTCAGATCCTTCAGCTAAGTTGTAGAATTCAGGAAACTTCAGAGAAGCCCTGAGAATTTTAGAAATATTGCAGAAAGTTCAGAGCTTTTCTGAGAAGCATTGAGAATTCCAGGAAAGTTGTGTGAACTCGTTGAAAGACCACCGACAAATCGACATGAAACCTAAACTTAACTCTTGATCAAGAATCCATAACGGCCGATTCAAATGTGCAGCGATCCCATCTGTCAAAACAAGAAATGTTTTATCTAGATAAAAATAATTTGTCCGAAATAGATTAGACATGAACCAACTCTTAAATTTTTTACGGGTGTTCGCGGCTAGGCTAAATATTTTCCGCGAACACGGCGGCAGATGTCAGTTTTGTGCTTTGATCAGAAATTTCTTTATAATTTGTATGATCATTCATGTCAAATTGTCGGTGGAAAGACTATAGAACATCATGGAAGTTCGATATCATTACTGAAAAGTCTTGAAGTTCTCTGTCAAGGCAGTTTCATTAATGGCGCAGAGGTTCTGACTGCTTCAGGTCAATTCCAAGAAACTTCATGGAAATTCCAAAACCTTCAAAGCAGTTCCAAGAACATATGAGAAGAGTAGAAATGTTCAGAGGATTTCAGGGAATTTCCGTGATCATCAAGGCAATTCGACTAACTTCCTAAAAATAAAAATAAAATAAATTAAATAAATCCTGAAAGCTCCAGGAAAGCAAAGAAAACTTCAGCAAAGTCCAGAGTTTAAGCATAGAGGTAACTCTAAGACCAGAAGGTCCCGAAGACACGTGCTCAACTTTTGGCTCAGCTCTGGTACTCTCTTCGGTCCCAATCTAATCGATGCACCTCTCGAAACATAGGAAAATCCACTAACCCCTCATTTTATCTGTCAAACTTTCAAAGCGAATCAAAACAAACATAGTGTAGTTCTAGAATTTTGACTAGAATAAGACGAGGAATGAGGTACGTTAATCGATTTGCTTAGGACCAAAAGGCTAGTCAAGTAGTGAGCCAAATTAAAATATTTAGTTGCCACCGGTTGGTTTAAGGCTCTTGAGACAAACTCCATGGATTTCGAAAGTGTTCCACGAACTTCAGAGCAGTTCTGTGAACTTCAGAGAAGTACCGTAAATTTTTGAAAAAACTGTAGAAACTTTAAGGAAGTTTTGAGAACCTCAGATTTTGGAAAATTCTGAACAGAGAAGCTATAGAATCTTTAGGGAGTTCCAAGAACTTCAGAAAGTTGCAAGAGTTTCAGAAAATTGTGCGAATATCAGAGCAGCTTCATGAAGATCAGGATTATTGTGGAATCATCCTAGAAATTTTCGAAAATTTCGGATATTCAGGGATGCTTGAAGATCATTAAGGGAATAATCGGGGGAATAATCCGAGATCTTCAGGGAAGATCCATCTTTCCTTAAGTTTTTTGAAGCTCTGCGTTTTACTCTCGGTTTTCTCTAGGATTTTCCTTTAAGTTTTATGAACTTCTGTATAGTTCTATCAACCGGTGGAAACTAACGATGTTAAATTGGCTTACTACTTGACTAGTGTATTGGTCCCAAGTACATCGATTAACGTACCCCATTCTAGTCGAAATTCTAGTAGTACACTATGTTTGTTTTGATTCGCTATGAAAGTTTGACAGACAAAATAAGGGGTTCATGGATTTGCCTATGTTTCGAGACCTTCTGGTCTTAGAATTACCTCTATGGTTCTATGGACTGCTTTGAAATTTTTCGAACTCCTCTGAAGTTCTGCCAACTTACATGAAGTCTGAAAATTTATCTAAAGTTCTATGCATACTTCTCTGAAGTTTCTTAAAATTCAGTATTCTATCCTCAAGTATTGTGTACTTCTCAGGAGTTCTGCGGATTACTCAGAAGATCTGCGCACTTCTCTGAAATTCTGCAGGTCTGAATATTTTTCTGAAGTTCTACCTTTTTCACTTGAAGTTCTACCACAGACAAACAGACGTAACTCTTTGAGAAAGTTTTTCTTGAAAACATAGTATCTCAAAACATAGGACCTCAGTAGTGACATCTTTCAGGCTTCTCGCGGAAAACAAGCTTGCTCGCTAACTCGCAAACAATATTGCATAAAAGTTCTATAGAATGTATTGAAACGTCAAAGTGATCCGATGCCAGCGCTGCGGCGAGTAGTTCGCGGAACTGATAATATTCAAATCAACCGTTAAATGCGTGAACGAAGATACACAATGAAGAGTTACGTCTGTTTGTCTGTGGTTCTACGTTCTTCACGGAAGTTTTGCAAACGTTTTTGAAATTCTACAAAGTACTTTAAAGTTCTGTGAGCTTTTCAGAAATTCAGCGATCTTTTTAGAAGTTCTCCTGTCCTTCTCTGAAGTTCTACGAATTACTCTGATGCTCCACGACTTCTCTACTTTGAAGGTCTGTGAACTTTTCTTTGAAGTTCTACGTTCTTCTCTAAAGTGCTGCATACTTCTTTAAATTTATGTGAACTACTCTTAAGCATTGCGAACTCCTCTGAAGTTCAGTGAACTCTTCTGAAGATCTGCGAAATCTTCTGAAGTTCTGTTTTGTTTTATAATTTTCAGCGAACTTTTCGGAAACTCTGTAATAATTTTTTGCGTTTTTTCTAAGAACTGTCTTCTACTGAGTACTTCGTTTTTCTTGAACTGCAATCTTGATAGACCGTGAATCAAATATGCGTTTAGTGGCAGTGAAGTTCTGTGAATTTCTCCTATGTTTTGTGAACTTCTCTAAAAAAAAATTGTAAACTTCTCGGAAGTTCTGTGAGCTTCTCTCAACTTCTGTATTATTTTCTGAAGTTCTAAGAACTAGTCTAAAGTTCTGAAGTATTTTTTGAAGGCCTGTGGTTGGCCTGGTATCATATGAGAGAATATCTGACAGATGTGATTTGGATTGGTAAATAGTTGGATATTTTTAGAATGATACCTGATCAACCTGTAGTCTTGTAAAAGTAACTTGAGGTTATCATGGGGATCTCTGATCACATGATGATATTCGGAATAATTTCTGAGCAACCTGGTATCATGAGAGAACACCTAATAAACATGATTAGAATTTGTTGGTAGTTGTAGATCTTTAGAATAATACCTGATCAACCTGGACTCTTGAACAAATATCAAGAGGATTTCATGGAGATATCAGAACACCGGAAAATCGTTGGAATAATTTCTGAGCAACCTGGTATCATATGAGAGAATATCTGTTTTTATGTAAAAGACGCTAGGGCTTTCATAAAATTCTGTGAAGATCCATGCATTTCTATGAAGTTCTATAATATACTATGAAATTTCCAAAACTCTTTAGAGGTATTTCATCCTCTCACTGCTGTGAAATTATATGAAATTGACTCCTATAAAGTTCTCCGAATTTTGTGTGAAGCTCTTCGTATTTTTATGAAGTCCTCCGAGCTTCTATGCAATATCCCCAAACTTCTTAGAAGTTCCCAAAACTTTTGTAAAATTCCCAAATTTCTATTAAATCCTCTCAATTACTATGAAGTTTTCTGAACATTTATAAATACATCCATAGAAATTTGAAACAGAGTTCCATTCATGTTTCAACCACGCTCAGAAATAAAACAGAATAGTCGAGCAATGGCAAATTTTGTGCAAAATAGTGCTCGAATAATAAAACTGCAACTCAGCGTTTCTGTTCTAGTTTCATATTGAAACAGTCCATATAAAAAGGATTGCAAACGGCCTTATTTGTTTAGTTCATTTCTCACCAAAAAAAAGGTATCACCTGTCCCTCTAATCCTTGCCCCATTCAGCGCGGCCGAATCACCCCTCGCCGTATGTTTTCCAATAAGAAAATAGCGGGACCCGTCACTTGAGGCTCACCGTGGTTCGATAAAAACATCACACGCACACCACTCTCTCCCTCTCGTTCCACTTCAAAAAAATCACGCGCTTCTGACAGTTCTCTCTCGCTCTTCTTCCTTCGTTGCTGGTTTCGTTCATTCTTTTCCACTGCCCTGTCATCGGCCAGAAATCGTCGCACGCAATAATTCCGCGGAGGTCGTAACCATTTCCCCGTCAAATTCACCGTACAATCCGTGTCGGTTCCCGTTCGAAAAGTGATCCAGAAGTGAGCGCTGGTTCGGAATCGTTTTTAGTTGTTGTGAAATCGGAGTTTTGCGATGGCTGCCTGTACGGAAGTGCTGAAGCGGGAATTCCCTTCGATCGACGGGGAACTGTTGACCTACGTGAAAGGTGAGTCGGGTTGGCAGATTGATTGGGGGACCTTTTGACGGTTTTTTGCTTTGCAGACGTTCTCCAGAGCGGAGCGGACGAGTTCGAAGATGGCGAGGAAGTGTACGAAGCGATCGGGGCGATTCTGCACGAGGTGTCCCAGGATAAGAGCGCAGACGACATCCGGCAGATCTGTGAAATCTTCCTGGATCTGCTGAAACCGCGGACTGCGGATTCCGGTGGCGGAGGTGGTGGAGGGCGGGCCAAAATTTTGGGCGCTCCGATTCATTTGAAAGCGGTAGCCGCCTCGCAGGATGCGGTCCAGGAGGACATTCAAAGTATTTGGGTCGTTTCGAGGGACGACAGTTTGAAGGTAGACTCGAAGAAGTTGGAGAAAGCGGAAGCCAAGCGGCAGCAGAAGCTGGAGAAGCGGGAGCACACGAAGATAACCACCAGCGCTGCGCCTCCGGTTCTGCAGATGGCCACGGCTTCGCAGGTTATTAGCAAGAAAGATAACAAGATGGAAGCGAAGGGGACGAACCGTTCGATGGACATCCGGATTGAAAACTTCGACGTGTCGTTTGGGGACAAGGTGTTGCTGCAGAATGCCGATTTGCTGTTGGCGGTTGGCCGTCGTTATGGGTTTGTAGGCCGGAATGGGCTGGGAAAGACAACGCTGTTGAAGATGATTTCCGGCAAGCAGCTTCAGATTCCAAGCCACATTACGATTCTGCACGTCGAGCAGGAAGTTGTTGGCGATGACACCTTGGCGCTTGACAGTGTCCTTGAGGTGGACACGGTCCGGACGGAATTGTTGAGTAAGGAAAAGGAACTGAACGCTCAGGTTAATGCCGGATCCACCGACCCTGAACTGAGCCACGAGTTGTCGGAAGTCTACATGCAACTTCAGCACATAGAAGCGGATAAAGCCCCAGCACGTGCCTCAATCATCCTGAATGGTCTCGGTTTCACCAAGGAAATGCAAGCTCGCGCCACCCGGACGTTCTCCGGTGGTTGGCGGATGCGTCTGGCCCTGGCCAGGGCTCTGTTCTCCAAGCCGGATTTGCTACTGCTTGATGAACCGACGAACATGTTGGACATCAAGGCCATCATCTGGCTCGAGAACTACCTCCAAACGTGGCCCACGACGTTGCTGGTCGTGTCCCACGACCGGAACTTCCTCGATACGGTTCCCACGGACATTCTGTATCTGCACTCGCAACGGATCGACAACTACAAGGGCAACTACGAACAGTTCGACAAGACCCGAACGGAGAAACACAAAGCCCAGCGGCGGGAGTACGAGGCCCAACTGGCTCACCGCAATCACGTGCAGGAGTTTATCGATCGGTTCCGGTACAACGCCAACCGTGCTGCCAGCGTGCAGTCCAAGATCAAGATGTTGGAGAAGCTGTAAGTTGTTATTGCTTTGATTTTAGAACAAAATTCACCGCTTTCCGCTTGTTTTCAGACCGGAGCTGAAGCCGGTGGAGAAGGAAATCGAAGTGACGATCAAGTTCCCGGAGGTGGAACCACTGAATCCCCCAGTGCTGCAGGTGAACGAAGTCCAGTTCAAGTACTCGGACGACAAGGTGATATTCAATTTGGTCAACCTGAGCGCGAATCTCGACTCGAGGATCTGTATTGTAAGTTGTTGCCTTTAAGACCGAAATAGTTCTAATTTTCCGCTTTCCTACCAGGTCGGCGAGAACGGTGCCGGTAAGACCACTCTGTTGAAGATTGTCATGGGCATGCTGCAACCCACGGGTGGTCTTGTCCATCCGCACCGTGGCCTTCGCCTCGGTTACTTCTCTCAGCATCACGTCGATCAGCTGGACATGAACGTCAACTGCGTGGAACTGCTCCAGAATGCCTACCCCGGGAAACCGATCGAAGAGTACCGTCGAATTTTGGGCAGTTTCGGTGTGTCCGGAGATCTCGCCACGCAGGTGGTGGCCTCCCTTTCTGGAGGGCAAAAGTCCCGCGTGGCGCTCGCCAAGATGTGCATGGGTCGACCGAACTTCCTCGTGCTGGACGAACCGACCAATCACTTGGACATTGAAACGATAGAAGCCCTCGGCAAGGCGATCAACAAGTACACGGTAAGATTCGGTTGAGATTTCCTTCCAGAAGAATTAACTGCATGTTGCCATTATTTCATTTTTTTTTTTTTGAAAGGGTGGCGTTATTCTGGTTTCCCACGACGAGCGTCTGATTCGGATGATCTGCAAAGAGCTGTGGGTGTGCGGCGAGGGAACGGTCAAGAGCGTCGAGGGTGGATTCGACGAGTATAGGAAAATTGTTGAACGCGAGCTGGAAGCCGCTGCTTCGTAGGGGGAGTGCTTCTAAGGCAAACAAAAATTATCATTATTATTACTATTATGATTATGATTACCTAATAATACAACATAAGAACATATTATTCTTACGCTTTATAACTTGTATACACGAGACAACGTAGAACAAAAGTTGGAAAACGAAATAATGAATACCCAGCAAAGCGACTCAGCAAAATTCTGTTGTTACCTACTATTCATGTGAACCATCCCCCCTCCTGAAACGCCGTTTACGAACTACGGGTTGCGTGTGGTCCTGGGGGACCACATCCCGTCTCTCATTTCTGGTACAAGTGGGTAAGAATTCTCGGCGAAGTTCATAAAGCATATTGGGGAAGAGTATAGTACTTCTTGAGGACGTTCTTTAGAATAGCGTTTGGACTACTCGATGTGCTCTACAGGACTTTGGAGAAATGCATAGTGGAGGATAGATCTTCTCGGATAAGATCATAGGATATCTAGTGAAAGTGAAAAGGATTTCTAGGGAAATTGCATAGAAATTATCGAGGACGTTTATAGTACTTCTTGAGGATCGCCTGATGCCCTTCTCGGGGATGTACTTATGGCTAATCGAAGAAATGTATAGGACTTAACAGGCTTCTTGAGGATGCCTAAGGGACTTATCCAAGATGAGTAAGTGTATAGGAAGTCCCGTACCATGGATAGATCACCTTTTCGTGGTACGTTACGGGATGTAAGATCTACCACCGATTCCTAGTACTGACTACTTCAAACTAGGGGAACAGGATTTTTCAGTACTCCAAGGAACACATCTTAGTCCTTGTCCACCGAGGAATCTTGAAACAAGGAAAAAATGGGTTAGTTAGTCTTTATCTATGTGATTCCTAATCTTCCATTTATTGTTCGATAGTTTGAAGTGGTTAAGACTAGGGTTCTGATGCATGGTCAATATCGGTGCCATTGCTTATTTTTGTTGCTATTAAGGAATCCAATTTTGACTGACAAAGGGGCGAAGGGTATAAATAGCGGAACCTTTCAATTAGAATCGATTCCTAGCGATGAAGGCTAGAATGACAACTGTATCAAAACCGAATACTTCATCATTTCTCAATACTGATGAAGTGTACTAAACTAAGGACACGGGATATACTACAATAGATCAAATTACTGGTCGCAGTGGTGTTATATGTCCCGAACAGAGGAAAGACGTAGACGTAGCGAGAATTCAGGTGATCTCTAAGGAAGCCTTAGCGTGAAACTTCAAAGGCACAAATGTTAGCTTCCACAAAACATACAAATTTGAAATTGCTACTCTCTGTTTGTAGTAGAACAGCAAACAAGGAGTAGCAATTTCAAATTTGTATGTTTTATGGAAGCTAACATTTGTGCCTTTGAAGTTTCACGCTAAGGCTTCCTTAGAGTATCACCATCGCGGTAGTCCATAGAACATCTAGAGGAAGTTCATAAGTATATTAGACTTCTCATGGAAATTCATAGGACTACTCGAAGATGTTCATAGGGCTTTTTGAAGAAATGCATAATCGTATAAGGCATTTTACGAGACGTTTCGAGTCAGCTTTTTTTTCTGTTTACCTATTTTGACGTTTACCATCGGGCCGATTTGTTGACATCAGTTCATGTTTATAATTTGTACAGTGAAAGTTCTTCGGAGGTCTCAGTTTTTTGTAACTGCAGTTGCAGTAGCTGTAGCGTTTTACAATGGGAAAAACACGATTTAGATGTTGTGTACCGGGATGCTCGGGTGCGTAAAGGGAAAGCATGGAACGGATAAATTCTTTCGTTGTCCCGATCCAGATCGCTTAAGTTCGCCTTTCTTACGGGCACAAGCAGAACTGCAACTCGATGCTTTTACCTTTCCACGGACAACATGCATTTCTCCAAATCTGACTCCTTCCCAGTTTTACCATTCCGCATTCAAAACGCTGCTTTGCTTCCACCAACAGTTTTGCCACCGACAAACCGACATCTGCCGCCGTATTCGCGAAAAATGTGTATCCTAGCCACGAACACGCATACAAAATGTATGAGTTGGTTCATGTCTAATCTATTCCGGGCAAATTATTTTATCTAGATAACAAATTTCTATGGTTTTGACAGATGGGATCTCTGCACATTTGAATCCGCCGTTATGGATTCTCGATCAAGAGTTAAGTTAAAGTTTCATGTTGGTTTGTCGGTGGTTTTGCTGCAATATGTTTACGAATTTTTTTCGGAGGCATTTTTAATTTTCACTTTCACACGATACAAAATCAAAATACGACCAAAATCAAAACAAAAACATCAGACGTAAACAATAACAATGCCTCGAGCGCGTTCGAGCGGCCCGCCAGGAACTGTCATCAAGACGTCACGTAAAATAGTTACATATAGTACGTTCAGACTACAGAGTTAAGGCCGGCGCACAATAGATACGTTTTCGGGTTTTTTGACAGTTAGCCCATGCATTATCTGTCAAAAAACCCGAAAACGGCGACACATCTAAATCTCAAGTTTAGATGCTTAACAAATCTCAAACTAGCGAATCAATCTTCGAAAAATCTTCTTTCATTTGTCGCATCTACTTGCATCGCTCATCATCTTTTTGCAGGAAATCTTCAGAATCGTCATCAATCTTCTTTCTATCTACTCAGCGTGCGCGCAGCAAAACACAATCGTTTCTGCATCGTAGATAGAGTCGTCCCCCTCGAGGTAACTCTAAGACCACTGGGTCCCGAAGAAAATCATTATTATTTTTGGCTCACTCAGTACCAGAACAACGGTCCCAAGCAGTCCCAAGCTATTTCACTCACCCCTGCATGTTCTGCATGAATCCACACACCCCTGATGTTATCTGTCAAACTTTCATAGCGAATCAAAACAAACATAGTGTAGTAATAGAATTTCAACTAGAATAGGGTACGTTAATCGTTTGCTTGGGACCAATAGGCTACTAAAGTGGTGAGCCAATTTAAAATCGTTAGTTTCGTATTGATTGTTGCTAGCACCATCTATCATCCACATTCCCAAGCAACCGGAGCATCCCTCGTGCATGCAATTTTTTCACTAGTTGCTTTTCCCTCGTTCTGTCAACGCGTCAGCTGTGTTGAATAAAAACAAAACAGATGGAAGTCAGTGATGTCGGTTCTATGAAATTTTGCAGAGATCTATAGAATTGATTGAATTCTGCAGAAATACGGATCCGTACACACAAAGAACAAAAATTGTTGCAATAAAAATAATGCATTTTCAAATTAAAAGTTTCGCAAATTTCGTAGTTTCAACTACGAAAATATTCAAATGAAAAGTTATTGTTTTGTTTTGAAAGTGTTTCTTTTACTCTCGACTCGTTATTTTAAAAGCGCATTCTTTTAAAATAAAAGTTGATCAACTTTCAAAAATACCTTTTCATAGCGATGTTTTTGGCAACACTTGACCTCCATTTGGCGCTAAATTTGAGTTGACGTCGATTGATGGAGGAATGGTTTTGGCTGGCTTCCATAGGAGTTTTTTGAGTGTGGTAATTGATTCAACGGTAAGTTTAATAAACTACGAAACCATAATTGATGATGATGAATCTATTTATGAAACGTAACCAATAATTTCATCTCCACAGATCAACGTATTTAACTCGGTATTCAAGGCGCTTAGTGAAGAGCTCCATTCTGATCTTGAATTTTCTCATCTTCCGTGGGAATAACCTGACGATTCCTACGGGATCAACTGACATGGTGGAAGTAGAACGGAGAATCATTGTTTCAATTCCAAATATCTAAACCACTGAAATAATGGTCAGCGGATGTTTCATCTTTCTCCTGCACACAATTCATCCACATGGAAGTGGAAGGGTTCCGTACTTGACATATATATACATATATGTTGAACCCGTACCTAGACCCGTACTTGAATTTCAACTGCATTAGTCATACGACGACGGTTTTGAACAACCATCTACCCTGTTCGTCTTGAGAATGGTACAATTAGCAATTATGGGTGATTGGAGCTATACCTGTATGCAGCTTATAGATTTATGTAAGTATTTCCAAGAGATAACTAAAGGTTTCCAATATTGATTTGTATCTTTCTCATTTGCAGTCTAAATACCCGGAACAGGTACCAGTTGCAGGATGAAGCATTCCATCAGCTGCAGTGGAAAAATCATCGGAGAACTTCGAGCCCACAGAAGCGACGTCTTCGGAAACCGGGTAGACATAACACGAATAACATATTTATAGAATATAGTATATACTATTAAATATTATCAAGAAATTAAAAATAATATAAATAATTAAAAAAAATATTATATTGAAAATGATTGTTTTTAAATTGACAACATTTATTTTTCCTATTCAAAGTGGCACATTTTATTTACACTATAATAAACTTTCATGTCAAAAGTTTGTTTGAAACATGCTGTTAATTTAAATACTGCCATGCTTTCAATTTGACAGTTCTACAACTCGATTTGAAAGTTACAACTTTTAAAAGTAGGGAGTGGGCAACTTTTGAATTAACAGTTTGATTACTTTCGTTTTGAAAGCTAGCCGCTTTCTACCAAAAAGAACCAATGCAAACTTTTAATTCTTCTAATGGTTTTTTTTAATTTTATTAACGATTATTTTTTGTGTGTAGGAAACATTCTCAGAAGCTAAAGCCTTTTTTTAGGGATTTGTTTTGTTTGCTTAGTGCGCTTTTTCTTTTGCTGGAAACAAGTTTTTAAACGAGGTAATGCATCACTTATTAGCACCGACAAACCGACATGAAACTTAAACTTAACTGTTGATAGAGAATCCTAACGGCCGATTCAAATGTGCAGCGATCCCATCTGTCAAAACCATTGAGTTCTCCAAGCAGGATCTCACGAACACTACACTAATAACATAATTTTACACACACTAGCGTATACTGTCATGTGCACGGTAAGAATCAAACATCCATTTATGAGTCAAAGTGAACCCATTGTTAATAAAAGCGGCACCACTAATTAATGAGTAATTCATTATGCCAATTAAGTAGTAACTGTTATGCCTTGTTCAGACTGGAGAGTTATAACATGTTATATCGGTTGTCAACTAATTGCAACACAGAAACCACCATCAAGATAGCGCTATAACATGTTATAACTCTGTAGTCTGAACGTACTTTAGCTACTGTTAGCAGAAACTCATTGTTGTTAAAATAATTTACTCATTAATGAGTAAAGCCACCTTTATCAAAAATGGGTTAACCTTTACTCACAAAAGGGTACTTGACTGTTACCGTGAAAGCGTAGGGTTTGTTTTCGTTTTGTTGTTTATTTTTACTTTAGAATGACAGTTCTAACAGCAAACAAAAAATTTCTCACAGCTAACAAAAAATTTCATCTCACTAACACACGCAAATCGCACCAATACGAACCCGCCTGGAGAGGACTATAGGAATGTGATCGCGAACGGGCGGGATCCCTACACTCAAAAATATTACAAACCAATATTGATTAAATTTTATGCATTTTATTATTAATCAAAATTTATACATTGGTCCGATTAATATTTTCTTCAAAACTATACTAAGTCCGATTATCGGAGTGGTATTCGATCAGTGTATACTAAAACGATAAAAAATGACAATGTCAAACACGATGGCACTCGTAGTCGTTTTTCAGTTCACGTTGAAGGTGGTAACGTTCTCAATTGGTTCTGCAAACATCGTCCGCTCATTGATCGAAAGAAGCATATAAGCCTGCCGGAAGTGGAATCAGAGCCTACCATCAATGGTAACCATGTATTGATTAGCCAATAAACTACTGATGCACAGTAATTTCTTCCATCTGTTCGGCTTAACGGCCAAAGCGTTGAATATGACCATTCCGGGTGGACCCAAGTTTACACCTGGGTTTCGATAATGATAATTTTAAGGTTCTGCTTTTGCTTTAATTAAAACTTTAATTTTTATTTGAAAACAATCATATTAAGCATTAAACGAAAAATAAGTAGAAAATACATTCCCTCGAATAAACCGTATGTATGCATTGCAAGCATTTTTCGATTTTATACTATGGCAGGCATAAATCATTTTTATACTAAGTCTGTTTTCTCTCCCTTTATACCGACCTTTGCGTCGGCATGGAGAGCTGCGATTTAGCGTAACTTTTATACTATTTAGCTTCCAATATTTTTTGAGTGTACGTTGTGTTGAGTTTTGTGATAATTACGAAGACGAATAGAACTAAAACGCACCGATTGCTTCGCCGTCCTGCCATGGCGGAGGCATACGAGATACTGTTTTATTGTATTGTATATTGTTTTCTAGAATCGTTCAGTGGGTAGGGTAGTGGCACATATAATCGACGATGCACAAACAGAATGTCGAGTGGTCAACACACAGGCCTCGTAATCTCAACGTCCATTGTTCGGTTCTAGCACAAACGAAGTGACAGACGGAGCGGCTCGAAAACTTTGGTGACTAACCTGCTATTTCAATTTTTCAGTGTACCACAACACCACTACTACTGGATTGTACTAGAGTCGGTGTATAATGAGTCACGCCAAGAGTGAAGCCAAGTCTACCTATTGAACTGTCAAACCGGCTACCTATCGTGCAAAGTAAACAAGCATTACGATGCTATGAAAGGTCCACGAAAGGTATTGCAATTAAATATTAAATATAACCGAAGAAATGATCTTATACACGCAGTGAGCATTACATTTGTCATGCGATACGTTTTGTAATGATCAGTAATGACAATTTCTACTATTTTTCCTTAAGATAATTCCACAAAATCACTGATATAATGATATACTACAGCCGTTATTTTTTTCCTCGCTAGAAGTCATTTGAAGTTGATGCAGAAGTCCTCTGTTGCCAAGTTAAAAGAAAGGGAATCTTTCGAAAACCGTGATGTGAGTTCAACTGTTTTTCTCTTGGCGTGACTCATTATACACCGACTCTAGATTGTACTAGCATTTTCACCAATTGTATTAGAATGTTTTTTTTTTATGTTCTATCTCTTTCACTCTACTCAAAACTGAAATGCATAAAAAAAATGACAAAATGATACACTCTTTGCACACTGTCAAATAATCATTGTATACAAAATCAACTTTGTTCAAATCAAAACAAAATAATAACTCATCTGGTGGATGATGGCACAAGCTTCCAAGAAAATTCTTTTACAGTGAACCACATTATTTTAATGGATTTCTTCGCCAGTTAGTCGTCTGTCATTTCGTTTGTGGTTCTAGCATAGAGGTAACTCTAAGACCAGAGGGTCCCGAAGAAACGAGCTCAACTTTTTGGCTCAGCTCTGGTACTATCTTCGGTCCCAAGCTAATCGATGCACCCCTCGAAACATAGAAAAATCCACGAACCTCTCATTTTATCTGTCAAACTTTCATAGCGAATCAAAACAAACATAGTGTAGTACTGGAATTTATACTAGAATGGAGTACGTTAGTCGATTTGCTTGGGACCAATAGGCTAGTCAAGTAGTGAGCCAATTTAAAATCGTTAGTTTCGAATTGATTGTTGGTTCTAGTCTGTTGCATTTTATAATTTTTTTGTCAACAATATTTTTCATAAGGCAAATCAGTGAAATTCATACTGATTTCTTGTGAATCAATTCTTACGTCCAATGAAAATAACTTAATTTTGGGTATTTTTTCGGTTCCGTGCAGGTTTACTCGATCTGTGTGAAAATTTGGGTAGTTTTGAAATAGCGTGTCTACGAAACAGAAAGTCGATGAAGAGAATCGATCAATGCCGATAGGACTGATAGGACCTTTTGAAATGTTCACCTCGATTAGCGACGGATGGTGACGATAAACATAAACAACATTCGAATTCGTTCGCGGAACGGAACGCCGGATTTGCGTTTCAATTTTTGTTTGTTGAAAAATTTTCTAATTCCCGGAAGTGTTGCGCGCGGACTGAAAAAAACAAAATGTCAAGACTGATTGTGAGTAACTTTGAAATCATAAAAAAAAATCCTGACGATCACTCATGCTTTCCTCTTCCCTCAGCTGGATATGGACGATATCCTCTCGGATTTTCAATCGCTCAAGCTTTCCGCCCTGAGCAATGCAGCCCGAGCCTCCTCGCAGGGCTACGGGCGAACCATCGGTCCTGATGATGGTTTCGAGCAAGAACGCCACGAGAACAGCTTCCCTGGTGAGAACAATCAGAATGCAGAAAATATCGGTTCCCTATCGGAGCTGATTGGCAAACATACATTTCTTCCGGATCTGAAGGTAACGTTCGTCAACCGATCGGATCCGAGTGGGATCTCGCCGAATGCACGGACGGTTGACATCAGCGATTGCCGGGCGGTTTCGTTCAAAATGTATGAGCAGGAGTTGGAGCGGAAGCGGATAAAAGATATGAAGCATGCGATGGAACAAAGACAGGCAAAGGTGAGGGAAGCGGATCGGTTGAGAGATTTGCAGTTCGAGGAGCGAATCAAGCAGGCTGGAAGCGATGCGGCAAGAAAGGCTCACGACAGCGAGCAGAAACTGTTGGAAGCGATCCGAGAGCAGGAACTGATTGCGAAAGACTTTGAAGAAAAGCGCAAGGCGGAAATTGACGAGGAGAACCGACGATTGGCGGAAGTCTCGCAACAGTTGAAGAAGAAGGAGGAGGAGATTAAGAGGAAGCATGCCATGTTTGACGCTATCCGGAACAGTCAGTATAGCTTCCGGAAAATGACGGATGCCTTCACAAAGACGCTGATGAATATCGATAAGGAATTTTCGGTTCGATTTAATGCGCAGAAAAAGACGGTTCAGGGTTTGGTCAAATCGTTCGAGCAGTTGCTGCATAATGTTAATGCCACTAGGGAGGTTACCCAGCAGGAGGTAGACAAAGCCGCCGAGCTATGCAAATCGATGGACCAGGCTAATGCGGAAGTAGTGGAGATAATGAATCGAATCCAAACGGAGATAGCCGATCGCGTGAAGAAGGAAGAGGAACAGAAGCAAGAGCAGCAGAAGGCAGCGGATGCTGCTCCAGTTCAAGACACTGCACCGCTTCCTCAGGACACGCCTGACACCACCACTGTAAGGGTCAGTCAGCCCGCACCGAACCAGCCGGATCCGTTAGCCGCTTTTGCATCCCAGGAAAGTCGAGCTTTCCATCGGGAAATCAAAACCTTCTACGAGCAACACCAGCATGCAGTGAAAGCCCTGGTGGATGACGCGTCCATGAAAACCTACCGATTCAATTGCCAAAAAGCAATTAACACTCCGGTGAATGCCATTTCCGCCGTGAGTCGGGAGCATTTCGTGGATAAGTTCAACAAACTTGACGCTTTGCTATCTGGACAACCGGTCAAGACTGGAGATACGGCCGTTTCGATCAACGGGCATCCACTAGGGAAGATCTACTGTACGATGCTGCTGGCGAAGAAGTTTGTGGTAAGTAGCTAGTGCTCTTAAATTTGGATTTGGACTTGGATTGAGGACTTTTCTATTCAGGGTCAAGCGGACACCATGATTAGCAGCAACGCCTCGGCGGCCTTCCCGATTGCAGCCATCATCGTCGGTCTTTGGCAAAAGTACCCGGAGTTTGGTAAATTCTTTCTCGCGTACCTGCACAAGGAATGTCCCTACCTGGTCCCATACTTCCTGCCTCAGCTGGAAGGACAATCCCAGGAAGACTACCTCAAAAGTATCGGCTACCGGTTCTCGGATGGTGCTCTGGAAAAGCAAGATCAGTACCTGAAGCGGATGACCGGTCTGGCTCGGTTGTATGCCGCGGTGGTAGTGTCCAACCCGAGGCGAGGCGAAACCGCTCCACATCCGCACAGTATGGAGTGTGGATGGCGCTGGTTGTGCAACATACTGAATCTGAGCCCTCTGCCGGACATTTGCGCCACGTTGATAACGGAATTCCTGCAGACGGCGGGTCCCTCGCTGTGGGCTTGCTACGGAAAGCAGTTTGTCAAGGTGCTCACAGTGATTCACGAACAGTATTTGCCAGCACTCAACAAGGTAGACGAAGGTGGACCAAAGGCACGACTGGAGGGATTGATCGCGAAAATCACCGCCGAAGGGAAGATCGACCGGCCGGAAGGGATGCTCAGTCCGGATTTTTGGTAGTCGAACTGGTAGTTTGTTAATTTGTGCTGAATATTGCCTGATTACGTGGATTTGCAACTATGTTTTTTTACTTATTACAAGCCGTATTCCTAGCTTATTGGATGAGATCAATACAAGATTATGAAATTAGGACAGGAATCCTTTTCGGAGGATAGTATTCACAATTCTTGCGAGAAGTTTCATTAACCTCAGATAAGTTATAAGAAATCCGTAGATCTTCTAGAAAGTTCCAACATATTCCAAGAAGCTTAGGGAATTTACATGAATTTTGGAGATTTTCCAATAAATTCCTAGAAGTATCGAGAAAATCAAAAATATTCTGAGAAGTTCCAAGAAATTCCGAGAAGTTGCGCTAACTTCTTCGCCTTCGGCCTGTCTCTGAGCTAACAGATCATGTTAGAAGAATGTCGCTTCTGAAATATATTGGAGATCGTTTCTAATATTTACTGCATACAGTTTAGGGTAACGAACCACGCTTCTCCACCATTACCTATTTCCATCACGTTCGTATGGGCTATCGTTTATTCACGAGAAAAATCACTGGACGACATCAATTGGTTATTGTGCCTTTTATTCATCAAGTCATATACAGCCAATGAAAGCATAACAGTCACATCTTTGCTCTTGATTTCCTATTCGAATGGGACTGTTATGCGTCTATGAGTAGTATTATAATAGGACGTTTTACGATTTCATCAATTTCTTTGCGTACCTTTATCGTCAGGTGGTAAATCACCATGAAATGCAATGGACTTCATCCCCCCCTCCCCCTGACAATAATAACTGAAGAAACTAACCAAGCAGTCATTTCCCCACACTATTCACCTTCTCAACCTCTTGGGCCAATCCAAATCGATGGCCATCACATCCAACGCGTGAATATCGATCGCCTGACCGATGATACTCTTGAAACTGGGCTTCGTCCGACCAAAGTCGCCGTGAACCAGTTCCTTGATGTAGGTTCCCGCCTGGGTCACAACATCAATGACGATCGTCCGCTCGTTCGTTTTGCACGCGCATGCCTTCACACTGTGAACCGTCCTTGGGCGGGACAGCAACGGCCGTCGGTGCAGCACCCTCAGCGGTGTCCACTGATCAATGACAAATGGTTCATCCATGTTCAGAGCCTTCAAGACTTCCAGTGTGACCGGTTTCTCTAGCACACATAGCGCTCGGTAAAACTTCCGTTTGTTTTCCTCGCCATGCTTGATGTGGGTTAGTTCCTCTCTGTCCACCAGCTGCAAATCTTTCACTGAAATCTGTGGAATGTCATAAGCTTTCTGAATACTGACACCGAAGGATCACTTACCAGTTTCGATTTATCGATCGCTTTTTCCAATTCGCCCGCAGTGGATCCCTCCAGGTAATCCTTGAACGCATTTGGAATCTCCAACACGAATGGCCGACCCTCGCCGAGGCATCGGACGTCAACATCCTCCCGACCACTGGAGGAAAAGATTAAACTGTTCTCCGGTACTCGAAAATACGGACCCACCACGGAGGCCATTATCTCCTGCACGCTATTCTCCATTTTCCGCTTACCATCAAGCACCCACGGCGTTTGGCTGAGCTCTCGCGAAACCTTATTGTACCTCCCAGCAAGGAACATCGTTGGACCGGTGAAGTTGATCTTTTCCAAAACGATCGAATCGTCCTGAATCGTCGGTGGAACGGAAATGTGCTTCTTATATTGCTCCAAGTCCAAGCTTTCCGGCGTAAAATGCTTCTCGAATGCGTTTCTAGTGATGAATTCCTTTCGGCAGTGCTTGCGCGACTTCCGGTCGACAAATACACCCGGTTTAACCTTTTCCAACAGCTGAAGCTCCTGCGTTTCCTTTTCGTACTTGAAGTAAATGTTGATCGCCACTCCGTTAACAGAAAATTGCTTCCCCAGAGCCTCTTCCAGCTTTCGATTCAGTACCATCTTTAAGGCATCCTTCACAGTCACGTCCGGTGCGGAAGAATCCTTCTTGAACTTTTCGGGGAATTTTTCCAGAAGACCAATCCACAGCGACAACTGTCGCAGATGGAACACAATCGGTAGGAAGATAGAGCTGGTGAAACCTTGGCACTCGTACTCCTTGAAATCGCTACTCAAGCGAATCTGATCCAGCAGAGAATCAATCAAGGCAGATTCGAACACTCCCAGACAGGCAACGCAAACATTTTCACGAATCCGCTTTGGTGGGTTTTCCGGATCCGTACTGTTCAAGCTGATGTCCCTCTGGAAATAAACGAAAATTTAGTTTACGGGGAAAAATTACCATTTTGAGAATTGAACCTTCTTGAGGCCTTCATCAACGTTCAGGAAATCGTCGGCTCGTCCGTTCAAGTACCGAAGACAGCAGATCCGGCAGCAGCTAACTGATCGAAGATAGCTGTAGATTTCGGAGTCGTTACTCATTTTCCAATCGATTGATAATAATTAAAGACTCGAAACTAAAATTAACAAACAACTGAGTACAGAGTCCAACAACTCGCGACTCTGCATCTGATAGATCTGATATCCACGACTCATGTCACGCTTGTTTGTTTACAAATTTAACTGTCAAGGGGTGGCACGTGCGCTTTCCATCGTTCCAGTGATAGAGCTGTGCGTTTTTTTTTGCAAGAATGCACGGAAAAAAAAACTATGGGAAAAATCGAGGGGCACGCAATACAAAGAACCGGTGCGTTGAAGCAGACCCCCTTCACTCTTTGGATTTTTTAGAGACAGATAATAGCGCCAAACGGTTTGTGACGAGACAACGTTGAACTGCAGCGTTGGAAGAAAACACGCACACCAACATCTATACATGTACGAACCCACACAACTGAGCGGACGGTACAGCGCAAATCAAAACACGAAGCGGTGTCATCACTCATCGTCTTCATTCAGCTTCGGCTACTTCCGTTTGCGTTTGCTTTCAAAGCGTTGACAAATACTTCCTACGTTATAAAATAGGAAAGTAATGATTATTCCAATGTAATTTTTGAATAGAATGCGTGCTGCGTTGGCCAAAGAAGACGGCATATTTTTTACGTTTAGCAATGATTTCGATACGTTGCATTTCCAGTGACTGGGGTGTTGTAATAATTCTTTAGAGAGAGTGAATGGTTTTCCCTTGTTTACTTCTATGCTTATTAAGATTCTTTTGAGCACCAGCTCCGCAAATCATCAATTCAGTGCCAACATTTCAAAGGGGCGTAATTGCTTTTGTAAACAATGACTTTAGACGTCGATTTCTCGCAATTAAAAGCTCACCCCTCCAAATTACCAATGCTAGTTGGGACAGGAAACATTCCTCTACCTGCTGGTGTCATTCATTTCCATGAGTGAGCTTTCATTCGCGAGAAATCGACGACGATAGTCTTTGTTTACAAATGCAATTACGCCCCATTGAAATGTTGGCACTGGATTACTATTAGTGATTTGCATCTTACTGATACCGGTGGTATAGGGTTTTTGATCTAATTTCCGTCCTACTAAGGACATTCCGCACTTTACCACGCTTTTTGGAAAGGGTTTGAACAAAACATGGAATATTTTCATCAAAGATAACTTCTAAATTTATCCACCTTTCCATACGTACCTTTGGATTTGATAAAGAGTCAAACAATGTTGAGATATTATTTAAAATCTAATACTGCTTCTTGCTTCTAAATTCGTCCTACGCGTTTCAATTCCGTCCAAACGCATTGAAACGCCATTAGATTTTCTTCGTCCTACGGATAAACGGAGAAAAAGGGGATGCGCTAGGAGCGCTTCTTTTGTTTTGAGAACAATGAGCGTAAATATGTATGCAATGCGCTCTAATAGGATTTATGTTGTAGCTAATGAACTAACGCATCGGAGCAAACGTATTATATTATTGTTTTGTGCATTGTGAAATCATTGATATTATTGATGATTTCTGCTCGATAGAACGGAAATGGGCGATTACGACGAAGTAGCGCTCTTCCCTATTGGAAACTCTTTCGCTCGAAAGCAAAACATATTACAAGCACATCATGATGCGCGCTTGAATGTGTGATTGTTTTCTCAAGTGTTTCTGTTGCATATAAAGTGGTAATGATTGAAAATCGGAACAATCACAAACAAGAATCTTGCTATCGCAATATAATGATGACTTCGAGCATGATATCTAGAGTAACATTTGAAATGGGCCTATGTCCAAAACGTAAACAAACCAGAAAATGAATTTTAAATTTTGGCCGCCTGTATTCAATTCATATTTAAGAAAATTGAAGTATTTTAGGCATTTATATTGTTCACAATAACAATAGTAACTGTATCTCAGTATACAACATCCAAAATATGCGAAAACCTTTCAAAAATATATGAAAATCGATAACAATATAATTTCATAAATTAATAAGCCTTTTTTGTGAATCTTTCAACGGATTGGCCCTTTTTGTTAAGCCGTTGTGCTTGTCATCAGAAATGGTAGGCCCTTTGCTAAGCCTTTTCGCAACGTCAAATAAATTCAAAACAAATCATCGGCCCTGCCTCAAGCAGTAGGGCCTAGCTTTGGTTTGAAAATTTTCAATCATCGGCCCTTCTACGTCACTAGGCTTAACAATGAAATGAGATAAATGAATGGTTGGCCGTTTTAGCGTGCGGGCCTATAAATGAATCGAAAAATTTCGTTGATCGGCCGTTTCGAAAATCGAGTTATTTTTAATGATTTTTCTCGATTATGCGGAACTTTCTTACACGATTAGTAGCTATCAAGCGGTGCTAAAGAATGGTATCAAAACCCGATTTGTTTACGTTTTGGACATAGGCCCATTTCAAATGTTACTCTAGATATCGTCCTCTTTCCTCGGCTGATCATTAACGTCCGCATTGACATCTATCATGCTGACACCTGTCAGTTATTGAGCCCACGTGGTGAAGTTGGCGGGGAACTCCCAACAGTTTCAATGTGCACTCAACAGATGGCACTGCGGTCACATACGGGTGGTAATCAACAATCAATACGAAACTAACGATTTTAAATTGGCTCACCACTTTAGTAGCCTATTGGTCCCAAGCAAACGATTAACGTACCCTATTCTAGTCGAAATTCTAGTACTACGCAATGTTTGTTTTGATTCGCTATGAAAGTTTGACAGATAAAATGAGGGGTTATTGGTTTTTCCTATGTTTCGAGGGGTGATTTGACAAGCTTGGGACCGAAGATAGTACCAGAGGTGATCCAAAAAGTTGAGCACGTTTTTTCGGGACCTACTTGTCTTAGAGTTAGCTCTATGGTAGTACTGACGGTAATTAAAATTATCTATCCTTAATTAATGTTGGTGAACGTTGGTGAAAATGTAATTAATGTACATTAATTACAAAATTTCAACTGTAATTAATGGAGTTATAAAGTAGTTGATGTTCTACAATGTGTAATTAATGTAATTAAGGCAGTAGTTAATGGAATTGGGTTCTTTAGGGGTATTGAGGTAAATCCATATTTGTAATCTGCATTAAAAATGGAACCCAAACCCAAAATTTCATAAATTTTGGAACACTAGGAACTGTTTAAACTATTTCCAGTAGATTATGGATCATAATCTTATCGTATGATCATATAGATCATACGGACGAGCGAGCGGGCGAGACACTGTACAGTGCGCTTTGAGAGAAATGTATTCGGCATGCGATCTACTAACGCAAACCACTGCCCACAAATGTGTTGGAATACCATGCGGGCAAATACCTACCAATTTAAAATTCATCAAGGTGTTGTATTTCGTATGCAAGTCAATCAGCTGGCACTGAAAACTCCAACAGTAGGCGAGACAACGGCTCACTTTAATATATTTCAGATGACGCAGCGGTTCGTGCTGGGGCTCTCACGCAGAAGGACTAGGTTTAATTCTTCAAACAGCTCCAATTTCTACTACTAATGCTGATAAATCAACACACATTAATTATACCTGCCTTTAGAAATAACTTTCATAAAAGTGCGAACTAAACATAGAATTTGGTGTAGAGGACAAAAACCTTTTTTAATTTATTTTCTAAAAGTTCCGTTCAAGTTCCTCCAGAAGCTGCTTAGAATGATCTTCAATTATGATACCGGAACTTTCAAGTTCTTATAACGACTTAAAAATGAGGCTGCTTAGAATTCTAAAAACCATCACCAACTAAGCTGCTTAAGCCACAAATGGCCTTTTATCAGAACTTTTGGTTACTTGGGTAGAAATAGTCCCAATGATGTGTATGGATGGTATTCAACTGATCATGATCATGGTTAAATAATTAGGTGGAATTAAATGGAATATAGCCTTTTTTTGCTGTTTTATTTAAGCATTCCGCTAACAACCCAATTTCATTACTTCATGATCATGGTATTCAACTATCCAACAATTCAAATCTCTTCCCTCAGATATTGCCTCATATCATAGCAGCCGGCTCAGAAATTATTCCAAAGCCCTTGCTATTCAGATATTATTTTGAAGTTCATCAATTAAAATCACACTCCAGATATTCTCATATCATACCATTCTATTACAGAGGTATTCTGGACATATATTGCTATCCATCAATCCAAATCACATGTCGGATATTTTCTCATATGATACCAGCTAACTCAGAAATTATTTCAAAGACTTTCAAGTGATCGACGATATTGATGAGGATCGCTGGATATTTTCAAGACTTCAGGATAATCAGGTATAATTCTGAAGATCTTCATCTGTCCAACAATGCAATTCACGTCTCTAAGATTTTCTGTTATGATACATTGTGATCAAAGACATTGATGAAGCCCGCTGGAAGTTTTCATGATGATCGGGTATTATTCTGAGGATCGTCAACTGTCCAACATTTCAACTATGGATAATTCTCTCGTGATTTCAGGTGACTCAGAAAATATTCTGAACATTTTGCCAATTATTCTGAAGATCTCGAATTGTTTAATAAAACAAATCATGTCTCTAAGATATTATTCCAAGAAAGTAGGTAACACTGGAATTATTCCAAAGACCTTCATATGATCAAGGACCTGCATACATTTCTCTGGATAATTTGGTTTGTTCAGTAAATCATGTCCATTTGATATTCTCGTATCATAGCAGGTTGATCAGGAATTATTCCAGAGACCATCAGATGATCAAAGACCTGCATCATGTTGTTAATATATTTTGTCAAGACTTTAGGTCGATCAGGTTTTATTCTGGAGGTTTTCAAGTATCCAGTAATTTAAATCTCAGATATTTTCAGAAAGCAGGTTGAACATAAGTTATAGCCGTTAGTTCCTGGTTCTAGGCGAGGGTCTAGGTGCCTTTCTGGTATCGCTAGCATTGGTACTCAGTACAGAAAACAAGATCGACGGAAAACAAATCAAGGGAAGACTACTAGTTTATCAGGTATTTTGTAGATCTATGATTTCGGCATTAACGAGTTATTCCTGGAGTTAATTATATCTTTGGTACGATGCTTTAGTTCATGAACTACAGCACAAAGTCTTTAAGAGCACAAAGTATGAATGTTTACGTAGAAGAAACGCAC